GCCTACTGCTGTGGTCTTTGATCACATTGCTGATTACCATTTCCTTGAGCTGGTTGAGCAGCAACAGCAGATGAATCACGGCACCGCCTCTTGACGCACTTGTTCACCAAAGCGTCAACTTCTATCATGCACAACGGACGCCTTCCCTGGCCGATGAATTCAGATTTTACACTGCTAGTCATATCTTTCTCTCTATCTTATGTAAGACACAATTAGGTTTTCACTTTTCAAGTGTTTGCTGTTGGAAAACAGAATGCGGTGATTATATGCATGTGCTTTTACTTGTTTTATGCCTACTTTGTCTTTTGAGTTTCGATGATCTTGGTGCCTTGTGAGATAAGAAATGAGAGTCTGCATGCTAGCAGGAGTTCTAGCCGGCCTCAGGTCTGATGAAGGCATCACTAAAATTCCTTTTTCAAAACTCCAATTGGATATACAGAATCGACACTTTTTAATCCTTTTATATTTTTTTTGGATCGAGGATTAATTACAGGTAAGTTGGTAACTCTTCGCATAATCTAGGTTCACAAATTAATTTAACAAATTATAATTCATGCCATCCAAGAATGAATACTAATTTCTATTGACCAAACAAAAAGGTTGACCATATCTAAATTGAAATTGTGTGTGGAACAAAATATGTTCTTGGCTTTATTGCCCCTTTACTAGGAAACTTAACTTTGGCTAACAACTTTTTTTTTTTTTTTTTCCCTAACAAATGATAGCTTTTGAGTTCAAATCTCATGGATTCTTTTTGATCAATTCTTACAGATTCTTCGACAATCATTGTAGATACTAAACACAAAGAGCATATATTTTAAGCAGTTAAGATTAGTTAGTATTTGTCGTTGTTATCGAGGTTCTATGATCAATTCATACCCCCTATTTCAGTAACGCTTGTATTAAAAATAAAAATAGATTAAAGTAGCGAATGAGTATCAATGAATAATAAAAGTGGATCCAGTTCTAAGAATTGGGAGAGGATATGAAGGGAATTTGAACGCAATATTCCAAGAATTGGGAGGGAAGAAATGGTGAACTTTTGGAGCATTATAGTGGACAAGTACTAGACGAGACAAGAAAATTTTGGCTTCTCCAAAGATGATAATATTCAAAGGGCATTAGGTTTTGTTTTGTGGGATAATTAGGGCATGACCAAAGTTTGTCGCTTGTGTTGCTATATATTCGACAACATAATGATGCGCCGTTTGTTTGTTGTGGTTTGAGCTAGCTTAGGGTTCTTCGTCCAATGTTTACGACTTCGTGTTTGATATGATTCACTTGTAATATTTGTGGCAAACGTGTTAATGTCCTAGCTAGAATATTGTATGCGATTAAAATGTGTGAAGTTGATTTCCATACCACGTTAATTCCTATACAGATTTCGAATCGACCCCTGTGATGCTCTCAGTCACAGACTGCATGTTGAATTGTTTAATCAATTTGCAAAAATCTTGATATAAAGGTCATATTATGCTGCGGACATTAGACCTAACAATTTCTTATACGACCCGTTAATACGACACGTAAACAATACGAAAATAACGGGTTTCAGATCGACACGATAATTAATCGGCTTGTTATCGGGTCACACGATAAGGACCTGGTAATAACGGGTCCTGAATAGGTTTATACGAGGGTGAAACGTCTTGACATGTTAAGAAAAAAGTTATTTTGATGATTTTAATTTTTTAAACTACTAAAAATCTTACTATGAAATACAAGAGTCATAGTGTGTGTGTGTATATATATTGTATGTTAAATATGTATTCTTGTATTATTATTCTATATAATTTTTTTTTAAAATTTACTATAAAATACAATAGCCATAATGTGTGTGTGTGTGTATATATTTTATATTAAATACGTATTCTTGTATTATTATACTATATAATTTTAATAAAGTTTTATTTATTTATTTATTTTTATAGTATATTATAGGCAAAGAGTAGATTAAAAATTTATAAAACACATCCAAAACAAAAATATCAAGTAATTTAAAAATACCAATCACATTAAAAAATTATAATAATTAATTTACAAGTGCGAAAAATTTGAAATAACATGCAAACGCTCATGATGGCATCCTCTACGCTTTGAGGATGGGTACATCATCGTTTGATTTTTTAAAACTTACAAACCCTCATGAATAATATTTTCAAGGGAGTTCAAAATAAATAAAATTCATAATCATTAACATACAAGTCTGAAAAATGTGAAATCAAATATAAACGCTCGTGATTGCATCATCTACGCTTAGATCATGGTTACATGGTCGTTTAGATTTTTAAAACCCTCCAAATCTCGTGAAACGCAAGTCCTTTTATTTTGCATATCCTTGAACATTAGGTATTTTTTAATGTATTAATGTTTTTTAATTAGGCTCTTATTTTGGGGTATGTAATACTTGAAAGACAAATGTTTTTATTTTTATGTTTTGAAGTAATATTTATGTGACAATATAGTATGCATATACTAATTTGGTATTATGTTTTCCATTTTTTGGGGGGTCAAATTATGTTTTTCATTTTCATTATTTCTTGATTTAAAATATATTTTCTTTGAACGAGTAACGAGTCGGGTCATATTACCTGATAATACTAACGGGTCGATTTCGGGGTCATGTCATATTACCTAGTTACTTTAATGAGTGTTACATGACACGACCCGTTAAGATATCGGATAGGTCACGAAAACGACACGAACACGAAAAACACGACACGATTGTCAGGTCTGGAGCACATCTTTATGGATCATTCCATTAGGATTGTTCACTTTAATTAACTCTTCAAATTTTATTTTTCACTTTCAAATATTGATATCTTAATTTTATCTTATCTTGTGGGGTTCCAAATTATATTTTCGAACTCTTTATTAAACAATCATTTTCAGTAAAATATATGGCGAGGCCAAATCGCTAACTTGAAGAAGTAGGTAGCAACTGACCCTCTTGTATATTTACAAGGTCAGTTACTAATTCTTTGATTTTCTAATTGGGTTGCTACCTCTGTTAGAGATGGGGTTTTCCTACGTGGCATAATAAATTTAACTTTACAACCCAAATAAGTTAAATTTGTTTCTCCAAGTAGAAAAACGCCTCTCAACCGAGGTAGCAACCCAATTAGCAAATTAAATAAATGGCTATTAACCTTGTATATTTACAAAGTCAATTGCTACTTCTTCAACTTATCAAATTAGGTCCCAAGTATATTATAATAAAAATATGGATTTTTATCACAAATGGTCCTTGAAATTGACTATCACCATCAAGATGGTCCCTGAAATTGAAAATCAATCAATGTAGTCCTTGAAAATAGGTGTCGCAAATAAATGTGGTCATTCTATCATAATTTTGTTAAAAATTATGTTAAGTGCTGATGTGACACATAAATGGGCCCCATAAGTTATTTCTTTCTCAAAAATGGTCATTGAAATTGACCCATGACATCAAAATGGTCCCTAAAATTGAAATGCGACATCAAAATGTCCCTAAAATTGAAAATTGATCAATGTAGTCCCGAAAGTAAATGTCTCAAATTAATATAGTTCTTTCGTCATAATTTTGTCAAAAATTCTATTATATGCTAATGTGACACATAAATGGGCCACACAAGTCTAATTAAATTTAAAAAATTACAAATAGGCTTAATAATTTAATAGTTAATAAAAAAAATTGCCAACCCAAAAACCCAGTCCTGCAATTATCTCCGATCCCAGTCCACATTTTTCTACCTAATTTCCTGTCTATTCTCTAAAAAAAAAAATTAAAAAAAAATCTCATACACCCATCTTTACACACTTCGACACCCTTCACCGAATTGAACCTGGATCAAGAATTGGTGAAGGCTTGGTCAATTGGCAATAACTTCTAGGATATCACCATTAACATTTAGGCGATCAACATCCTCACAACCTTAATCGTGGAGAGCTTGTTTGGCACTTCCCTGCTGGTCTGGTAATGCAAAGAACAACGAGGTCTGCCTTGAGATAATGAGGTTATAACCTAGGTGCGTCTATATATTGTTGGTTGAAAACTATTTCCACACCCCCTCTTAGGCCTTGGTTAAGCCTTGTGCCTTTGAGAATTTATGGAAGAGATCTCTCTTCGGAGTAGGCCTTACTATAAGAAAAAAAAAATTTCATTGTGCAAAAAGGTATTTAGACAACTTTTTTAATTCATTATTAAACCCACATCAGCACATAACAAATTTTTTTATTGAATTGTGGCGGAATGATCATTTTGATTTGTGACACCTATTTTTAAGAACTACATTGATTGATTCTTAATTTCAGGGACCATATTGATGGTGTGAGTCAATTTCAATGACCATTTGTGATAAAAACCCATAAATCTTGTGAGCCCATTTATGTGCCACATCAGCACTTAACGAAAATTTTAACAGAATTATGACGGAAGGACCACATTGATTTGTGACACCTATTCTAGGGACTGCATTGATTGATTTTTAATTTCAGGGACCATCTTGATGGTGATGGTCAATTTCAGGGACCATTTGTGACAAAAACCCTAAAAATATTGTTTATCAATGGGCTAGAAACATAAAACTGAGCCACGCATAAATAAGACAAACTTGAAATAATAATATTTTAAGATAGAAAAAAAATTTAATAGTTGGTTGAAAAGTGGGCTGGAATTGAAAAAATTTGGTAGCATATAAGTGTCACTGCCACATAGTGGATAGAATGTTGTGTTTCTACGTATAAGTTATGAGTTTGAGACTCCTCCTCTCTCAAATTCTCGTGACAGTTTCTCTCCCCTCTCCCCGTAATAATAATTATTAAAGAAAAAGTGTTACATAGGTTTCCAGAGGACACTTCTAAAGTAAAATTTGTCAACTCCCCTTGAGATGCTCTGATTAATGCCCCAATTAGTATTCTCAGTTTACATTGAGATTTGAATTAAGGTTTATATCCCTTTCACTTCATTTTTCTTTTTTCCCAAAAAATAACAAAAGAGAATAAGAAAACAATGCAACGTATATTTAAAAATCCGTTCTTTATATGTTCAGAATTGTTTTCAGTTTGAAAATACATGTACTACATTCATTGGTGTACGTGCACGTTCAAAAAAAAAAAGGAAAGTAAACAACAAAAAGGAACCTAGCAGGGTTTGCCGACAACGCAGTTTAGAGCACCGGAAAATTTTGTGAGCGTTCCGACAAAGGTCCCTGGTTTGAAGGGCATCATGTCCAACTTTGCTGGGTGGTTGCTGGCTCCTGATCCAGATTCAACAAAGAAAGCTCCATTCATCATCAAATCTCCCTCAGATCGCCATTCCCAGTTCTTCCACTCTGCCTCTGGTGTATGCTCCCTATGCGTCACCTATACAATTAAATCCAGAAGTCAAAATGACATATTGGATATGAACGAACGTATTATGCATGTCTAATAAACGGTTGTATTTGGACTATATTTACTGATTACTTTTTCGATCGAGCAAGCACACGTTTTGGTAAAAATTAACATCCGCACTCGAGTTTGAACACACTTAATTGGGGCTAAGTATTTACTAATTAATAAAAAATTAATTCATCTAATTAAACTGTATGTTACCTGTTTGGCGACCCCGTTAAAGGGAGCAATGAACCTGTTACCCTGGCTGATGATGGTAGGGTTCATGTTTCCTCCGATGGCATACATGATCCAGTGGGTGTAGTCGTTGTTCACCACGTGGAAGAATCCGTGCCGGACCCTTGGCATCCTTTGCACCAGTCCCTTACCAAAGTGGTTGAAGGCCAAAGTAATTTGCATGATTTTGTCTTGAGTGTGGGCGTTGTTGGCACCAAACAACATCGCCTGCATGCATGCATGATTTTGTACGTACCATTAATTAGTAAATTATTGTAGTTGTTTACGATAAATTAATATTATTTATTAGGCTAAGTTAGTTAATTAGTTTTTTATACAAGCGAGAAGAGGAGGGGAAATTTTAACTCGAGACCTTGGGTGCAAGGGTAAAACTTTTATAACAAACTGGGCGCGCTACAAGTTTTTGGCAAGTTAGTTAATTAGTTTAAGATTAAAGTAATTCCCTTTTAAGTACCTCATCGTGGTCAGTGAAGTGAGAGTTGGAGATGGTGATGGCGGTGGAACCCATGATGGCGTCGATGAGCCCATCTGCGCACCTGGACATGGAAACGTGATCGATCCAGACGTTGGAGGCACCAAAGAGGGAGATACCATCGCCGTCACTCTGGGTCCTTAAACCTATGTGGTCGACAGAGTCCCTGATCAGACCACCGGGTTTGGTGACAATCATTTTTATGTGAAGGTTGGTGAGGATTACATTCTTCACAAACTGGAGGGTAATGCCAGCACCCTCTTCTATCACAACATTGGCTCCCCTACCATCAATGGTCTTGTCACTACTCACCATCAGCTCTTGCTGCAGCCTAATCACCATGCTTTTTGCGAAGATGATCCACAAAGGCCCTTTCTGAATCACGGCGTGGCGTAGGGTTCCGGGTTTAGGGTTTTGCACGTCATCATCTGTGCCCATTGTCACCACGTAAAAAGGACCATCCTTACCTCCGGTGGTCTTTTTACCGAAGCCTTGGGCGCAGCCTACAATCTTCTTTCGGTTGTTGGCCCAGTTAGGGTCACACCTCCAGCAGGCGTCCATTGGGTTGGTCGCCATGCATGGACCCGTATAAGCCTTGTTACCCCTCAAGTTCCTTCTTGTGGTGTTTTCCTTCGACATAAGCCTGAATATATATGTATATATGTCATTGATAACAAAACAAAAACAAAAACATATACATATGTATATATAAATGTATGAAGTAACGTTTTCTTGTTAGGGTCTGGTTTTAAACAAAATCTGCATGCAATGATAGACCTACTTGCCAACTTCAGTATTGAACTCCTCAGTGACTTGCTCAGGATTTTTATTGTAGGATTCCCTGGCCACTTTTTCAGCTTCTTGGGCTCGTTCTTTCCAGTACGCATCTAAATCTAATACCAGCGTATCTTCATTTGGAACATCGGTTGGATTATCGTTGCTCGAAACGAATACAACAAAGGACAAGAAAAACAAACATAGAAAGAAATAGGACGAGTTAAACATGGCTGCCATTGTTGTCGGTACTTCGTCGGCGGCCCCCGACACCTTGTGACAAGGAAACTGTCGGGTTGGGCGAGGTCAGGGTTGCTCGAGGGTGTTGAAGCAGACCCAGCCAAGCCAAGCCAACAGATTAAACCCGTCACGAGATTATTAATTAACCAACCAGCTTATCTATTGGTTTGTCTGGGGGATGTCTTTTAATATGAGTTGAGACTCGCCTGAATAAGGCATTTGCAGCTAAATATAATTAAGCGACTTAATCTGACATTTGGCGGGAAGTGTGGGCAACCGCTCCCATGCCTCGGTTGACCTTTAAAAATAGCTATAGGCTTCCCTTCCCTTTCGAAAAGTTCTTTATCTTGTTTCTAATTTTGGATGTTGTTGCAGAAAGGACTGGTATATTACACTCGCGTCAGATACAGGTTGGAGGGAGTAATGCTATTCACACTATATTTTTGTACCACATTTTCATACCACCTTAGGTGGCATTTGATGTGAACAACCATATTATTTGAATTAAGAGTAATGTTATTCTTACCACAATTTTATACTCTATTTATTTAACATCTTAGGTGGCAAAAGAAACTCCTCGCATACCACAATCATCATTTAATTAACAATATTTTTATTAATTATTAATTAACATTTTGAAATTAAATGCTAATTAATTTAGATGATGTGGCTGTCCACATCAGATGCTACCTAAGGTGGTATACAATTGTGGTACAAAAATATGGTAAGAATAACATTATTCTTGAAGTAATCAGATTTTTAAATTTAGTTCATTATTTAATAAGCTAATAATGAAGAAAAACTAGTTAATTAAATGATGATAGAGATATACGAGGAGTCTTTTTCCTTTCTTTCCTAGGGTTTTGTAAAATTTTTAAATGATATGGCTGTCCACATCAGATACCACCTAAAGTGGTATAGAAATATAGTATAAAAATATAGTATGAATAACATTACTCGGTAGGTGGGCTAGGGGAGGGCACTCCTTTTTCACCAAGCCAAATAGTCAGTCAAGTATATATCTTTACCGTATGAATGGATAAGTTTAAGCTTTGTCGACTTTGATTGAAATAAAAATGTGGAGCTAGATTTTGAAATCTACTGGCCATTCTTGCTATAAGAAACTCACGGAACAATTTTTTTAGAGTTCAATAATTGTTCTTATGACTTGAATATTTGATGAAAAAGTTGGGACCTGAAGATCGAGCCAGGCCATGCAAACTCCCAACTTGGAGAGATACTTGCACAGAATTGATTGTCTTGTATTAGTATTTTGTTCGGGAGATGGTTCAAAAAGGTGATATTGTTGCTCGAAACATTCCTACTGAAGATCAGGTTGCAGACATTTTCACCAAAGGCTTACAGAGTCCCAATTTTTTGTAAAACATTGTCATAGTCTGGGTTTGGGATCTTCCAGTCTTTGTTTCAGATCAGTTTTATATATTTACAAGTTACTTCCATGCCATGCAAAGGACAAGCAAAACAAGAAGAGACAGAGATACGATGGTTTAAACAACATTGCTGCTGTCAAAATCTAATCCAACTAGGAAAAGGAAATCATCAACAGCATGTGTAAGATGGAGCACTGCTTTTCCAACCTAATACCATGCTCACCACTTCCACACTCAGCCGACTGACCACGATTCTGTACTGCTGAAGCAGGTCGGACTGCCCCATCCGCCCCATCCTCAGGTCGGTCTACATATCACTCTATCTTGGCATCCTTTTATTTGCTTAAGATGTAAAATATGAGAGCTTCCTTATTGAATCATCTGGTACTCAACTTTATATACTTGTAGTTATATACATACCGGTGTGGAAAAAACTAATGATGCTTCCCAGACCTTGTAGTCTCTTCCCTCCAGGCTTTTATTCCAATTTTGAGGTCCACTAGCAGGTTCGTAATGACCTGGTCCGATTTTTATGACAACCTTTTCATCAATGATGGCAGCATACACGTCTCTTTCTGCCTTGATGATTTTAACCTACAATGAAAAGTGAAAAATGAAATCGAAGCTTCGATGATATCTTGATCTTCCACAAAAGAATGAAAACAGAAATCTATTTTAACTTATATTTCCTTATAAGTCAGACCGACTTGATTAGTGATACTTACTCTACTCCGACAGTTGAGCTTGTTCCGGTTTCTGAGAGAGATCAGAGCAGCAATTTCAGATTGGTAGTGAGAGAAAATGTGGTCATAGAAAACTGTAGGTGTTCCTGGATGAGTCAAAATGTAAGCATATCCCTGCATTTCTTTTCCATTTGGAAACCTCCAATGACCCTTCAAAAGGAAAGAATAAAAGAATTTGTATCTTGATACTTCTAAATATTAATATGCTCGACTATAAAATAACAGAGAATTCAAGATCAAAACAGTTCAAACCTGAGTAGAACCAGTATCATGATTCTCTATGAAAGTGACAGCACGAGATGGCCACCATCCAAGAACCCCTGGAGGCTTACCCTTCTCATCTGATAATCGCCAATACTCGCACCTTTCCAGTGCCTGTACAAGTAATTCCATGTGAATAAAAGTAGCATCCGCCATACAAACATGGAAAGCAAAGTCATAGAAGTTTTACAGTTGGAATTAAAACTACAAAGATGCACACTTACTGCATGGAGAATCCCTTTTGTTGTGACATCAAATGCACCACAAGTTCCATTAGTAGCGTTGATCCAATCAACAATTCTCTGCCTGTGTGCATCTTGATTGCGATCCATTTGCCCGTATGTATAACTTAGGGAATCCCAAAACTCGCCTACAGCAAAGTAGGGCTCACTAGCATCAATGTAGTCCCTGACATAGCCACCCCAAAATCCTCTAACAAAATCGAGCCTCCATCCGTCGTACCCAATATCGTTCCTGTGACGGTCAGCCATACATTTATATCAACATAATAGAGAAACTTTCAACATAACATGCACCATAAGGGAGATTGCACTTCAATTGGATAACATACAACATGTCCACAATTTTTGCAAGGTACTGGTACGTCCACAAATTGATATTCCACGTCATAATGGGCATAAGAACATGTTAGGAATTAACCTTAGCCAGCATAACCATTCTCTGATATCCTTCCTCACAAAATCTTGTGAATGATCAATGTTTGGGGCTGCATGAAAACTATCTCCACTACTTTTGTTACCCCTTCCCTGTATAACAGAGAGAGAACATTTTCAAAAATCTTAAAAAATAGCTACATAAAACAATTTTCCCAAAAAACGTGTTAAGCAAACATTGGCATATAAACATTCGATATCACCTACATATACCATGCACACGTTACTCAAATAGAAAGACATCCTACATCACATTTGTTCTGTTTTTCTTTCAGTAACATAAGGAGATTACAGAGTGCTTTCCAAAATAATCACTCTATAATGAAATGAACAGACATAGGGAATTAGTGTTTTTAACTACACATGTGAGGGAACTCAAGAAAGACAGAAGATTATCTAAAGAACAGGTAACATGTTTCGCTAAAAAGTCCTAACATTATTATTATTATATTATCGAAACCAAATACTAATCTATGGTCATTGGTCACCATTTGGACTGTGCATGCACTATGTATGGGGTTGTGCAGCACCGTGTTTGGAGTTGCAACACTGGGCACCGTAGACATTCCACAAACGAAGTTTAAGTGTCTTTGGAAGTTTGTCACGTTACAACATCATAAACTACAACATCACATGCGCACATAAAATAAATTGCTGTATCACATGCTAACAAGTCCATGAACTACAGTTTTGCATGTACACATGAGCGCACATGAAATGTACTAAATAATAAATATCAATGACACTATCTTGAAATGAAATTCAGATGAGCACAAAAAGGTTAAATACCTGAAAATGTGGATCGTCTGCAACAACTGCACGATCATCCCAATTTAAACGACCACCAAATATATTCCAAACACCATTTTGATTCCGATAATGTGCACAACGGTGATTCAGAACAGCGTCTCCAAGAACTTTCATACCGATGTCATGGAATACCTTCACGGTCTCCTTCAGTTCGTCCATATTTCCGTATCTGAGAAGTGTGAGAAAGGAGCAATCACTACTTTTACATGATCCTCCCCATAGAGATACTAACTAGCATCTCTTAAATGAGAGTTCAGTATCGAAACTAAAAAATAAAAGTAACCCTCTGAACCAAGTAAGGAATTTTACCACAATAAATAATTAAGAATGAAACCTTTAAACTCAACAAATAATTGGTATGTTAATAAGTATGTGGAATGTGCATAAACCAAGAAAACAGAGGTCAGAGGTATGCCGAACTACTTTTTCATTTGCTCAAAAAAATTACAAAAAATAGGGGTGTGTGTGTGTGCGCATGTGGTGATTGGTGAACTGTGAAGACCATGACAAAAGTATTATGTAACATATGTTACCTGGAGTTCAGATTATATAAATCCCTGGGCATGTACCCTTCAGGTGAAACAGACTCTGTGGGAGGTGGAAACCAAATCACAGTGAAACCTAGTGAAGATAACTCTGCAGCTTTACTTTTGAGTTCCATGTACCATCTTCCAGATTTACTAGATTCCCAGTTAAAACCTTGGCACAATATTTCGAAACCTGTTCCTGTCCCTGAGCATATTTTGGCAGGGGCGACTTTCACATCTTCAGTTTCTGCAATGGTTTCCTCAGGTAAAGTCGGAACAGTAGTTCTGAAGATACTATACGCTTCAGCAGCCAATTTTTCTATTTCTTGAAGAATGGCTTCTTGTGCTTTTTTGGATCTTGTCCTTTGACTTCTATCAGAGAAAACGTCACTCACCAAGTTCCTCATTTCATTGATTAATCCATCGGCATATGCAGTATTTTCTTCTACTGCTTCTGTACTTCCGTCAGATACCTGAGCATCTTCAGATTGAATCTCTCTTTGTAAAACATTTGCGTTTTTTGAGCTTGAAAGGGGGATGTAGAAGTCATTTCCCACACATCTCAACCACGTACTTTCATTTAGTTTCAAAAGAAAAAGAAATCCTGCGAGTCCTTCTTCCAAAGTAAACAGTCCCCAGCATCCATTTCCACCCTCTTTTTGCTGCACACAAGAGTCCATGATAATAACAAAATTAATCAAGAAAATAATTCATTCTTGACAAGTTTAATAGAAAAATTCTTTAGTAAGCACAAAACAGATAATAAACCTTGCTTTTAAAGCTTTTCTAGAGAAGCAGAAAGAAAATGAAAGTATAATTAAGATTTACGATTATACAAATTACTGCGAGCATGAGGATGCTAATAGCCAGAACACATATGCATTCAACAGTTCTCTATCATGTATATCATGTACACCAAGTACGTATGCATTAAAAAATTTCTAATAAAATCCTCCTATAAGTTACAGAAGGAGTCTTGTCCAAGGAAACCGTTTCTCCTGAGGTTTGGGAATTAATATTGTAAATAATTATGATTGTATTCCTGATTTGTAGAGATCCTTACTTGTTCGCTAAGCATACACGATTGGATAAATAGGCCTTTGTGCTATGAATAAAATAATCAAGATTACAATTTCTATATAGTATAGGCCTCTGATCATACACATGCTCGCAAAAACAATACCCTATCTCTCTACTGTTCAAAATCATGCTTCAACCAACACAGAGATATTTGTATGCGAGAAGAGTTAACTAAAACGAACAATGTAGCACCAGGTTCATGATCTTCAAAATTATTGGAAGTTGTACAATGGATCACTAAACTCTGATTTCCAGTTATTATGTTGTTCTGCAAAAGTATTAGAAATTGTTCCTTTCCCCAAAAATTCAAACAAAAATATAACAGTGATCCCATAACTACAATACAACATAATGATTTTATACAAAAGAAGTCAACAAACATTTGGTGTTTATACCACGAGAGAGAATGGTCAACTACAAAACTATAAATAAAATATAAAGAACAAGAGAGGAGAAGGAATAGAAAAGAAAAGAAAAGGACTTAGAAACCTGTAATCGAGTCCGCAAAGCCTTGTCCTTGAATACTACTGTTTCTGGTGGATGCGGGGCAGCTGGAATTTCCCATATTTTAGTATCATCTCTGCAAACTCCCCAGTGAACAACAGCATTATCAGGTAAATCTGTTTCCAAGTATAGTAGATTCTTAGCTGTCTCAGGGCACTTCCTAACAGAAACAGTTACTGAATTGTTTACAGAAATTTCTTTTGCAATTGGCAGTTCTTCATAGAATCCTTCTAGACACGTAGTTTTCTGTTGAGGGTGTCTGGATTCACTGCCGCTGCTGTCTTGATCTTTGGAATCTGATGATTCTGCTTTGACGAACACGTTGGATAGTTTACCCAAAACTCCTAGAATCAAATTGGACACAAGCAATTTTCAAATTTTCACTCAATTCAGGTTGGACAACTGTGGAGAAAAAGTGAAAATGAAAAACTAATCAACCATAACCCATCTCCTCCACAGCCAAAAGGAGTGCGTATTTGTGGGCTCTAGAATTTAGCCGCGACTGCAAGACAGACACTTGGCTTAACTGTTGACATTGGTTACATATGAATATAGACTCACACCAGCAAAACAAAACCTGTTTTGTATTCATTTAACTGCATCTAAGGATAAGTGGAAAAGGAATCATTTTTAAGAATGTATAGAAACATCGGAGTTCCACTCTTAAGCTGAATTAGGACAGTCTCCTTTTGGGCTTTTATTACACCATTTCTTCGAAGATCACAAATTGGTTCAGATTTAACAGTATTACAAACAAAATAAATCAAGCAAACCAGAGAATAGAGTGGCATTGACAACCTGGCCACATGCCGAAGCCCTTTGTTTCTCCAACTACATTGTCATCGTCTTGTGGGTAGGCGACAAGAGGCACTCTAAAGTCCCTCCTTCTGTGCTGATACCAAGCACCAGTTTCTTCATCCTGCAACACCAAAACACCCCAACAAGAGCAGACACTGAAGATGGCATAATAACATAATAGCCGGTATATATAACATAAGGGGCTTACTAGTTGAAAATCACAACCTTGAGAACAAAATTTATCGCTGCAATTGCGCTGTTGGGTTTAACATCAATCTTCACTTCATAAGATGTATCGCCTCCCACAGACGACAATGATTCCTTCAAGGGTGTCTCTATTGCATAGTCCTGAAAATCCTCATGTATATCAAATTCATTCCAACCAACAGCTCTGCAATCAAACTTAAGAACCCAAATACATACCTTGATGGGAACTGAACCAGCTGGTCTCATTTCACTAGGAGGCTGTTCCCATTCGCTGCACAATACAAACAAACATTTTAGAGAGAGAGAGAGAGAGAGAGAGTAATTGCAATCTACTATTAAAGTCCGAAGATTTTACCCATTAACATCGTCCACAAAAGAAACTCCCCAGTGAAGAACCCATTTTCCAGGAAGATCACAACCCACAGTCAGCACCCACTTCTTTTCATTCTTCCCATGATCTAATTTCACAACGATCTTTCCCTCCACCTACCATTTCAAAGAGGCCAAATCAGATAATTCAGAAGGAAATTTTGACTTTCTGTTTGGTCGCCGAGAAACTGTGCGAAACAAACGAGCACCAATCGAAGTTTCCAGCTTTGAAAACACTGTTCATCGAGAAATCACAGAGCTTGAAATTTGAGCTCAGTAATTGGGCTACAAATTCAAACAGCGTCGACAACCCACAATCAAAAGAAACAGCAAATTCAGAAATGGCGGAAAGAAAGCACAAACCACTTCCGTCCGCTTGAGAGGGAAGGTCTTCTTGTAGAAGGGATCGGCGGATTCGGAGGTCTCGACAGTGGCTGTATCGGTGGAGGCAGCTCTGACTCCGAGAGTGGGACCCCTCCTGGGAGTGGGAGGCTGGAAGTAACAGAAGCTGCGGCCGTTGGAGACTACTAGCTTCTTTGGAAAAGCAGTGAAAGAAGAGCTGAGCTTTAATGGATGATTCGACGGCGGACGGCGGTGTCTGGGTTTTTGTCGACGGTAGTGGTGGAGGTCCCGGAGGAGGGGCTCTATCCTAACCGTCGACATGGTATGAGCAACGGCCACTCAGGAGACCGAGAGCATGAAAGAAACGAATTTTATATGGAAAGAATGAAGAAGGTGGTGGTGGATCTCATTTATTTTTTATTCTATTTATTATCAACGGTATAAAAAGCTTGAGTACTTTTTTATTACCCAAAAGCCAAAAGCAGTTCACCAAAAAACAAAAAAAAGGAGGGCCAAAAGCAAGTCGACTACGTTTTCCAAAAAAAAAAAAAAAAAGAAGAAAGGCATGTCGACTGCAAAGCTTGCGTAATCTTGATGTAATCCACGAAGGTACGTCTTCAAAGCCTTTAATCAGAGAATCATCAGTATTTTAATTAATAAGTGTTTCAAATTCAAGACAATAGATCACATCTGACTTATAATTTTATCATCATTCTACTTATTACTTATCGTGATTTAATTTCAAAGTGATGAATTATATTTATTTTTAAAAACGAGGTTTAAGTTTTGAATTTTTTTCTCAATATTACTTGTTATACGAAAAAAAACTTCTAATAAAGGGATTCAAACTCCATTAATAGCTAGACAATTTCGAATACAAGTTATAAGAGCATAGTTTTCTTTTAATCGGATTAATAGATTTTCATGTTTTACCATGTTAAAAGGTTGTGAAGATGTGATGATCAAATGGATTACCGTTTCAAATTTTCGTTACAGAAATTCCACCATACACTTGATGAAAGAGATGAAGAATTAAAAATACGTAACAACTACTATCAAGATTTTGCCATCCGTAAGAAGCATAAGTCAAAAAGTTCAAAGAAAATCTCACCTTACAAAAGTCTTCATTCTTTAGGGGCGAAATGCTTACGCTCACACAAAAAGCATTTTTGGATATTCTCTTTTGTTTTCCTTTCACAAAGGTATCTAGGATTAGGAATTCTCGCGTCCACGTGATACACGGGCACGAGCTTTCTCGCTTTTGTCAAACTTTCGAGAAACAGATCGCTGGATCCAAAATAAAATAACCAAAAAAGTCGGATTGGAAGATCTTTGCATAAAAAACCTAAAACACACCATTACTTGTGATCTAAGTTAACGAAACAATTACCATCGCTTCGAATTTGCCCTACGTTCGCAACTTTGCTTAATTATCGGGAAAAAAAAAATATTCGACGTATACCGCGATTGACAAAAACCCACATTAAGCAGTTTAACGTACACCCTCCGTCAACATTTGGGTTGGAAGGACATTCAAAAGGAATATGACACGACATCGGTTCGTGCCAATTATTTTATACAACCCGATTACCGCCAAAGATATGAAGGAAACGAATACCACCACCGGACAAGGACCACAAGTTCATCAGAGAAAATTCCCCTTCTGTCTACCTACTGTTATTCCCCCCTCCACCATGCAAAAACAGAAACAATCCACGTTCCATTTTCACAGAATACCTGCTTACGACTAGGGCTTGAGTGCCAAGGCTAGACCGATCTTTGCGCTCTTCTCTATTGCCCTGGTATCGACCTCTCCTGAGATGGTGAAGAATGACTTGGGACGCCACTCGTGCTGGATGAGAGCGCTTGCCCTGCCATAGTTGTTCACCCGAGCCTTCACTGTGGTTAGAGGGTCAAGTGCATGCGCTGTGCCGATTGTGAGGCTGTTTTCATTGCTTGAAAAGCTATGGGACAGCTCCGCACCAACAGCAGTGTTGGTGAGTGGACTTACAGTGTGGTAGTAGGAAGCAGTAATAGTATCAGCTTTATCGTTCCTGTATATTCACCAACAATATCGGATCACACATGCAATGACCACATCAACCTAAACATACATATGCAATAAGCCCAACTCGACTCAAATAATGACACAAGATCTATTATGGTTTATCAATCTCGTCAACAGAAGTACTCACAGTAACAGGGAGGCAATGAGGTCAGAATGGGTGAAATTCAACCCTGCATTCACTTTGGTAAAGTTGCCAGAGGCAGTGTCGAAAGAAAGATCAGTTCCCAGAGAGAGAAGATTGTTCCCCACAACACCAGAAAAGTTAACAATCGGATTGGCAGTCAACCCAATGCTAGTGCTTATCCCGGCATATTCATGCTGATATTGGAGTTCCACCTGTTCACAAGACACCCAAGTTCGGACCATGAAGAAATGACTTATGCATATGATGCCCGATAAGACATGCATTAACAGAGCAAAAAAGTGAACACAACTGAAGCAACAAGTCAGTCAGAAAATGGACGCGATGATTCTTCACCTTGCCAGATCTCTGGTCAGGGGCAATGAAGCTAAAGATTGCCTTGAGACCAGGTGCAGGTTCATCAATAGTAATGGTCGTGAGAAGCTGCATGTTGAAAGACAATTATCAGTCACAATAACAATGCAACCAAATTACTCCATCATGCATAATCAGTTATAGGTTGCCTGTTCACCGCATGAAATTTACAGTGCAACAAAAGGAGAATACTAACACTTGCTTATGTAACCCTGTATCGAATAAATTAACGATATAAGATAAGCGCACAATTATAAGAACCATACACAAGATGGTGAAGTCTGTAACACAATATTATCAGCTAACTAAATGTAGACAATGAAATTTGTATAATTTGGCCTAAACGGTTGCACCAACGCCACGAAATGTGCTTACAGTCTTATCTAGTAGTTGGGAAGAAAAATGAAGAACTTATACCAATTCAACAGAGTCTGCTTCTGAGATTTAAAAAAAAATAAAAAAAATCAAGTCTCATGTGTTAAATCACATGGAGCACATCTTCAAAGTACCAAGATAAAGTTGCAAAAGTTAGCTATGAAAACCATAAAACTTCATACTGATCGTACAAACACATGACCAAACAGTAATGAGTTCAGGGTCAGGAGGCTTCCAGTTACTGCATTGACCTATTGTTCTTTACATGAGAAGAAAAAAATGCTAGTGCAGATACAATTAGCTCTGTTGACTTACGTTAGAGTTGGTGTCAACTTTCACGTCAGTTGTGATGTTCTTGTTCTTCAGCTGAGTGCTCACATCCCCAAGATACAGTTCACCCTTCCTGATTCCAGTTGAACTGATTGCCTTGAGAAGTAAAATGAATCCAAATATCAGAACAAAACAAATTCAGATAAAACAAAGGGAGTAGGATCCAAAAAATATAAAACACACCACATAAATCACACATAGCAAGCAGCCAGATTACTAATGGAATAACAAAAGGGCTCAGCGTGTAAATCTGAGAATGACAATCAAATTACTTTCAACTGCTCAATGTATAAAATAAACCTCCGACCCCTTCAAGTAAAGCGACCGAAAACATAGCATTACAAACACAACGGCATTGCAAGATCACTTAACATAAACCAATGAAAAACCATGCTACAAATCCAAGGAATCCGCTGGAACAAACAGCAATCAAACAGGTGACTTATCAATTAGCTTAAAAAATTCAACGAGTCCTTTAAATTCACTACAGAAAAATAGCCAGCATTTTGATAACCGGAAGCATGAATATTAGTGAACTGATAAGTAGACTGTAAGTGCAGACCTTAAACTTCTAGTATTCATCATGTGACTTGAAAGATTTGGTACAGCAAAATTAAATTAAACACTTTCTCAGCAACCAAACAGAAAATAAATTTCCAAAAAGAAAAATGATGCACTATTAATTTCTCGGACAAAAATCAAAATCAAAAAGGGAAAAAAATTAACAAAAAATATAGGAAATTAGAAGCTTACAAGTCCGGTGGAAGTGTAAGTGGTGACGGTGAACTTGTGGTCGCTCTGGTAATCCTTGTAGAGAAGATCTGGGCGGAAAAAAAACAAATATACATTTTCACGAGTGAAAAAAAAAATAGAAAATACGATAAATCAAGAAAATAAATGAAGAGAAAATGAAAAGGGCGAACCTCTAGCTTTCTTGCCGATATCGAAGTAGAGTCCTGGGCCCTTCACCATGATTGTTTCTCGAGAAATTTTGGAAGGAAAATTTCAGAGAAAGCGGAGCTGGATTTGTGGTCTGGTTCTAAACTGAAGAAGAAGAAGGAGCAAAATGGGCCTAACCTAGAAACCCTAGGAACGGTGTTAGTTGAGACTGAGGAGAGAGGCGTGGGCCGTTGGATCTTGTACTGGGGAGAGGTACAGGTTTGTGGCCGTTGATTTGGACCTCAAGAATCGTACGAGAGGTTGCGTTGGGCAACTTCGCATTTTTGGCGTTGTTTCGTGAGACACGTGGAAATAAATTATATATTAATTGTTTTTTCCTCGAGTGCTTTATTGTTTTGTTTGCTGATTTATTTTCTTTATATATTTTCCTGAATTTTTATTTACACCTAAAATTTTCTTAAATTTGATGAATTAAAAACGACCAATTATATCAAAGAAAGTTTGTAGCTAAAACATTTTACTAAAAAGAATGTTCAATACATTTATCTGTTTTCGCTTTTGATTATCTCTTGTATTATTATATCAAGGGTAATGCTAACTAAATTTGGAAACAAAATTTACAAGTTAAATGATGTGTTGTCACATCTCGGTTCGGGTCTCCATCACATCCTAGGCTCGACTCCACCATAGCACAATATTTTCCGCTTTGAACCTCAATCATGCCCTCATGGTCTTGTTTCTGGGAACTCAAGCGAGAACTTTCCAATGGGTCACCTATCATGGAATTGCTCTCGTGCTCTACTCGCTTAACTTCGCGATGAACTCCGAAGCCAGTGAACTGCCAAAAAACCTCGTGCTAGGTAGAGATGGGAATATGCATATAAGGCTTACAAGATTCACTTTCATAGCGATGTGGGATCTAACATGTGTTACCAATAGAAATGAATACGTTTATCAACGCTTAAGTAATAAATCAATCATCAATTTTTATATTATTTAGTTTCTAAAATTTAATCTATAAATTCAATCTATCTAGCATTGTTTTTATATCAAAAAAAATTTTAGCTAATATGGTCAAAATATTTAATCTGTGCATCGCCTAGAATTCGACCACCTTTTTTATCATCGCTTGTATTGTAAAATTAAAAAAATGATTAGACTACTTTGAAAAAAGAGAATAAAATTGTTCAAAGTTTTTTTATTTTACACCACATGATTTTATTTGTTTATTATTTTTGAATTGTCTTTTAAAACAAAAGAGTTGACACGATTCTAAATAAAGGACGAACTTAGGGTGACACCTGATTCAGAATGTCCATTTGGACTTTGAATCAAGCTATGCTCGGTTAGCACAACTCAATTCGGAATCCAGTAAATATTTCGGGTTGGAATGTGTTATATGGAGTGTATTTAATTGGGATTTTAAGGGATTTTAATTATTTTAATGAATCTAGAGGTATTCAATCATGATTTTAGGGGATTTTTTGAAATTTAAGGTGTATTTGATTAGAATTTTAAGATAATTTATTAAAATCCTTAGAAATTAGGATGTATTCAATTAGGATTTTAAAGAAATTTATAACATTCCAGGTATATTCAATTAAAAATTGATTTTAAAGAATTTGAGAAAGTTGAGAAAATATAAGGAATTTGAGAGATTTCGTAGTGTATTTTAAGCATCCACAAATATCACATCTCCCTATGAGATTTCGAATGAATTGAATCAAAATTTTATATAGAATCTTTACAAATCAATTAAACTTCTTAAAAATCCACGGATTTATAAATCCATTAAAATTTTTCAAATTCTCAATTGAATACGCTAATTTGCAAAACTCAATTATGGAAACAGTTGATAAATTTTCCATTTTAGAGAACATTTTGATTGAACGGTCAAAATTCATGGACCAATCATCATAAAAACCCTTTCTTTTTTATAATATCAAAAAGACCCGTAAACCACAAATGGAGCAAAACATTAACAAGCACAGAAAATTCACCCTACAAATTATAAAGTCGAAACAACACCCTTGAGTTTCAAAACTAAGATATTAACAAGCACAGAAAATTCACCCTACATATTATATACGTGAGTGTGTCCACACTCTTTTAGATCCTACAGCGCACACAAATTCGAGTCTAGCGTAACTGCGCTGACATTCAGTGCCGCGCCCAACGGCATTACTCCTGAATCGAACTTCCTTGAAGGAGTCCGTCTCTTATTTGCGACGCAATGTCTCTCACAGCACCTGGTCCGTGTGGGATGAAAACCGAATTGGACTTTGAGGATGCACCAATCTCCTTCATTGTGTCAAAGTACTGGGTCACGAGAACCATGTCCATGACATCCTTGGATGTTGTCCCAGGTACGTTCTCAGAGAAGGCCAGCACGCTATCTCTCAGCCCGTCCACAATGGCCTGGCGCTGCCTTGCTATGCCAAGCCCCGACAGATATTTGGACTCTGCTTCTCCCTCAGCTCGCTTAATCTGTAGTATCTTCTCTGCTTCAGCTTTCTCACTTGCAGCCACCCTCATCCTAGCAGCTATTAGTTAATGAAAAACATGCATATGTTAGTCCTTCTGCAGCTGCCATGGCCAAACAAACTTAATAATTCAAAGAAAAACTTTATTGCAGGTGCACTCGTGTTACTGTCCTACAAAAAGGAATTAAAATTCACAGAGACGCATGAGACATCTCAGTCTCGATACTTTTCATGCTACAGAGGCGCTCACAGAATCCTTGTGCATCTCAAGAATGGTTACGTCTTTCTGCTTTAGGCACACTGAAGCCGTTTGGATGATAGGAGTCGAAAACCTTATAGATGAAAAACATCCTAATCCTTTTAATTACCAGAAAACTGTATCAGTCAAGGATGGCAAGAAATAGAACAGACTTTGAAATCCATTGTCAGTCGAGACAAAAACTACCAAAAAACAACACGGAACTAACAAAATTTGACCTCCAAATGAACCTCGTCCAGGGCATACAAAATGAAACAGGGTTCAATTTTGACTAGCCCTTGGTAAAGTTTCGAAATAAATTAATCTTTACTCGGACAAAGCATGCAACAAAACAAGCCTATTAAAATGTTTTTTGGAAAAAAAAACATTAAATGTCATAAGACCATATGGATTTAAACATATTATTATACCTGCATTAATCTCATTCATCGATCTCTTCACGTGCTCATCTGGTTCGATATCCACAATTAGTGTTTGAACTATCTCAAACCCATAATGTGACATGGCCTGCGTATCCACAATAAATTACTACGCGTGACAGAAGTTTCATAATGAAATCTAAGCCAGACAAGGCAGACACATCTGTACCTTTTCAAGTTCTTCTTCCACAGCTTTGGCTATATCATTCTTCTGCTCAAAGGTTGAATCTAGGTCCAATTTTGGAACACTTGCCCTAATCACTGAAAGAACAATAGACTTCTGTTAGTTTTATCTGCAAGCTACAATATTGAAGCTAAATTCCTCGCCCCAGGAAAAATGACATGAGAACAAGAATCAGATATACTTTCAAAGCAAAACCTCGAGCCTAAGAAATATTATACACTGATATTCAAAATATAAACTTCTTATTTTTTCCGTCTCTGTTTCCAAGAAATTTTGTGTTTTACTCAAAGAATAACAGTTCATTTCTAACAGTTCAAAATCACATTTAAGGAAAATTAAATGAAAATCCCACCAGACTTTATGCAGAGAACTTATCACAATTGAACTAATAAGCTAGAAGGAAAATAACAACACACATAAACCCACAGATTTATGAAACTAGTTATAAATTTCAGTGATAAATACATACCATCAAAGACATAAGATTGGATCTGCCCTCTGGTATTGCTGAGCTTGTAAAAGGCATCAGAAGCCTTCTCAGCCAAAGCTCGGTATTGAATTGAAGCAACCACAGTAACAAAAACGTTATCCTGAAGAAATACCAAAGATCAGAATTGGCAGATAGATTTCGAATTCCTGATCAGACTTACATGGCTCTCACACAATAACATATTTTTCCAAATTTGCTACAGTTCTACTAATAGATGCTCCTAGAGTTGTGTGCGGTGCTTACAGTGTGTGCTTAGAAGGTTAAACAAATCTTCTTGTTGAAAAGGAATGAACATACAACAAACCTTTGTCTTTGTTTCACAACGAACGTCCAATTGCTGCACACGTAAGGAGAGATGACCAGCTACCTGGCTACCCAAACACCAAGGCAAACAGTGACATCCGGGTTGAAGCACATCATCAAATTTCCCAAAAGATTCCCTGATAGCAACAGTGGACTGATCCACTTGAATACAACCAAGAGCTTGTCCCATCTTCTGGTTATGCCAAGAATAGTAAAATGGTAATCAGATGCTGATTGTCAAGCAGATTTTTTAAGTGCATAGGCAATAAATGCTTAAGAACTATATAGGCCTCACAGGCAGCCTGTCATAGTCCCACATGCATATTCCACGTCAAAAAACATAGCTAAAAATCAAAATGTCAACAATAGACGAAACTGTGTAGCTTCACCAGTCCATCTTTTCACCAGAAAAGCTTACATGATTTTCAATCAAATTTAAGTGCAAATGTCTTACCAAAGAAATTCACGTACAAATGTATTGCAATCTTGCAGAAAACTAGATTAAATTAATTAAAGGAAACAAAACTTCAACACACAAGTTAGTTGCGTATGCATTATACTTTCTAGAAAGAATTGAAACCTGAGAATTGTGAATAAATTTGTGTGCCTGGGTGTATAAATATATGCACGGATATACGCATACGTCTGACAAAAAATAGAGCCAGCAGCCAGGCGGTATCTCAGAAACTCTATAACCAATTCAATTAGAAGCCTAGCAGGAGCGCTCGAGAAAAAGTGAGAACGATATATTCCAAAAACTTTAGTCTGAAGTAACCATGGCATAAAGCCATATGCTATAAAATCTTTGGCCCTAAACTGTGGGGTGACTCTCAGACCATAATGCCACATCAACTAGCAGACCATGAATGAAATGGCTAACAAAGGTGAATGGTAATGTCAACCCAAATTTCAAATGGCAAAACCACAAGCATGAACCGGACCATTTCATTCGACAAAAATCTAGTTAGCGTTATCTAGTTTCGAGGCCAAAATGTCTGAGTTGAAAAATAAATTTATTTCAAGAAGAATAACAATATCTATTAACAAATTGGAATAATCACTTCACATTTTAATTTTAAATTAATAAGGGTTTATCCTTATACAAGCAAGGTTTGCTTTCAGAAACAAAATATTGACCCTACATACTACTAGATACAAACTTCCCCAAGTGCACAAGTAACAAACCAAATATCAAACTTTGATTCCCGTGGCAATTTGGAAAAACATATAAACTTATAGGATAGAAATCCGAAAAAATATATATAAACTATAGGACAACGCAAATAAGCTGCCAAATGGAAATACTGGCTAGCCAGAGCTAGATTGTTACAAGGGGTGTGCCATCCACACACCCCTTGTTGATTTCTGTCATTTACTTTTCTTCAATTCATCCGATCCGACGGTCAAAAATTAGAAGGGTGTAAGAAGTAAAAAAGGATGTGTGGATATCACATCCCTTGTTACAAATCTAAGCCTTAAAATCAATTTGTATAAAATAACAACCGTATCAAGCTAAAATCGACTGTAGCACCATATACAATATTTCTACAATTGGTTAACAAAAACTTGATAATCTCGGGTTTACTTTCATTGAGTAACTTCCGTCGTTGATTCAAGCCGGTAACACGTGTGTATGTGCATGTCTTCACACGCCTCACCGGCTTGACCACAGGCAATGCTTATAAAGCATCTTAAATAAATAAAAGTAAGCTACACCACGAGGTCACAGAGATTAAAGAAAACAGCCACAAGATGACAAAAATCAATAAAATAAAGCGTTAAAAGCGACCTCTGCGATTAAACTAATATAAACCAAAGCAAACGAAAGCAAAACGCAAAACCTGTATCCAACATTCAAAGCGATAAAACTCGGCTTAGTATACACGCAACTCAATCCAAAAATTAACATCAATAATTACATAAAAATTAAATAAAAAGTTCTCAAACCAAATTTACCAAGAATTATACGATGTCAAATCAAATCACACAAGTTTCACTCGGAATTTCAAGTAAAATTAAAATTCCAGACGTTAAACACAGTAAAATCGGGAGCTAGAAGAAGCAGAATAAATTCCACCAAAAAAAAAAAAAAAAAAAACGAAAATCAGACAATTACAGCAACTAAAACTATGAGAAACGTAAAATCGCGAAAGTTAAGAAATCAAATCCAATCACACAAGTTTAACTCGGAAATTCATCTAAAAGAAAAACTACCCGATTCACACTGTAAATTGCGAGCTAGAAGAAGCAGGAGAAGGCAAATTTCGCAGAAAAATCAGAGAATTACAGAAAACTTCACAGAGGAATGTAAAATTACAGTGAAAATCCACCTCTGAAATGGAAGCGTTTGTCTGCGAAGCTTGAGAAGTAGATATCTATATGAGGGAGTGGGGGAGGAAGTGGCAATTTTGGGCGAGGGGTTTTAATCGTTATCCGCGACAAGGAAGAAATTAGGGGTCGCTTTCCGGGACAGCTTTGCGCAGAATTTTCCTATGTGCGTGAAACGCAAGTTCTGTGGGCACAGCGCCACCTCCACCTCGGGTATCGCATATTTTCGTACAACTTAAATATGAGATTTCTAGTTTTAGTAATAAGATTAAAGAAAAATTAATGAAAAGAATCTTTTTTGAGTTTTAACGATAAAATAAATGATAAAATGAATAGTATTATGATTGATTTTTTAGTATAAAAATGTGATTTTTCGTTAAAATGAATAGTACCGGGAACTTTTCGTTAAAGTTTCCTAAGATTAATTTGATTAATGTTGATTAGGTTTTTTATATCAACAATGATTATTTGGTTTTAATCATGTTTTGCATGCGAGCTAATTAAAGCTTGAATTTTAGTAGAATTTTAATCTAGACTGTGGTCCTTGAATGAGTTTATGATTTATTTTTCGTAGATTTCGATCTCATACGTAGAATTTTCGAGGTACATAAAGAGATTTCGAGCTTGTTTCAAAGATAATGTAAAAAAATTAAGAGCGTTTTTAGATAATTAAATACGATTTAGAATATAAATATTCAAATGTTTGTGTTTCATAAAAGCACTTGCAAGTTTTGTGGAAAAAGAATAAAGTAATTGTGAGTGCCTTTTTAGGAATTCTCAAGAATAATTTTTTGAGTGCTTTTTAGAAAAACATTTTGATTTCTACACCTGATCGTCTTGTTAACCATCTTAACTTCGTTCCACATGCACACTTTTGTTTATTTGTAATTTTTTAGTTATATAAATTCAAATATAATCAAGGATTAAATAAGAATGTGCATAAGACAAATAAATATGTGCATAGTTATTTCTTTTGCTTTTTATTACAAATTTCGACATGCTTGTAATAAAAACACTTTGCACAAGTTTTACAAGTAGAATTGTAAATAAACGAGTTGCTAGTAGAATATTACTCTCGTCATGCTTAACCCCAATTTTAAAGCTTGAATTTTAGTAGAATTTTAATCTAAAGTGTGGTCCTTGAATGAATTTATGCTTTATTTTTCATAGATTTCAATCTCACGCGTAGAATTTTCGAGGTACATAAAGCATTTTGAGCTTGTTTCGAAAAATATAAAAAAATTGAAGACCGTTTTTAGCTAATTAAATGGGCTTATAATTTTTTTTTTTATATTTTTTATAGAAACTTGGGCTTATAATCTTTGACTTAATAAATTCAAATATAGTTAGGGGTTAATAAGGATGTGCATATGACAAATAAATATGCGCGAAAATTATTTCTTTTGCTTTTTATTAAAAATTTCGACATGCTTGTAATAAAAACACTTTCAACGAGTTTTACGAATAGGTTGAAAATAAATGAATTGTTAGTTGTAGAATATTGCTCTCGTCAGGCTTAACATCATCTAAAATAATAAGGATCCGGACAATTTTAACATCTCTATTTTGGTTTGAGTAAAGGGACTCGCGTAAGTAACGTAAGGGATTTGATTTGGAGATTTTGATCTCATTCATGTTTCACATACCGGTGGGGAATTTTCTTTCCGAATAAGCACTTTCAAAAGTCTATAAATTTTGTTTTCACACTTTTTGGTCTCTGAAGATATTGAGTAGTTATTGTTTTTAGGGACACACCATTATGTGACGTTTGAAGAAAAGTCGAAGAAGAGTGGCGTTCATTTGTTTGTCATGAATTGCTTGTGAGAGAATCTGGGTTCGTGGCTTGTCAAACTACATTTTCAAAAAGTAATAATTGTGATAATTGCTTGAGTGCAACCATTAATCAACATTATGTAATTAAGATTGCTTGACCCAGTTTGTGGTGTTTATGGTCTACGCGTTGTATCGTTATCCAAAGACACGAGGGCAAAGATGAGAGAGAAAATATGAAAAACGTTTGCTCTTTCTTGTGGACGGAGATGATTTCATGTTCTATTCGCATGAATATTAAAAAATTGATATCAAGAGTCTTCAAAATTATTTCATGAATGATTAAAAGCATAAAATATTGGAAGCATTTCTTTGCTATCCAAAAGTTTATGGTGGAGGGGAGGCCGGGAGGCTACCTCATCATAGAGTTACGGCATATTACAAGTATTTTTGAGATTTATAGTGGGGTCGTAGTCTCTTTAAAGTATGGACGGCTTGGAATTCAAACTTGGACGTCTACCGAAAAACGATCTTTACCAACTTAACCAGATAAAATTGTAATAGAATATTAGGTTTTTAATTGTTGTGTTATTCTTCTCTCAAGGTGACAATATATATGCAAATTACATAATTGACTAGGGTTACATAGAAATCCCAAACTCACGCCAACACAACCAACCCTCATTAGCAAATTGGAAGCATTTTTAACTCGTAAAAATGTTTTATGAAGATGTACATGTTAAATGCTTATTCATGAAGTACTTTTAAATACTTTTTCTAAAAATAATTGATTTGTAAGTTTTTTTAAATACCAAAATTTTTATAATAATAATAATAAATTAACAGAAATACTTATGATATTTCTCTTCACTCGTACGAGAGAAGTTTTAGTTTCAAATTTTTATGTAGCAAGTTAATTATCAATTTATTTTTAAAACCCCTTAATAAAAATACATCTTTGTATATAAAATGCTAGTGAAAGTAATTGGCCATGCCCATTCTTCAAATGGGTGGTTCAAATGAAAATTTATTTTATTTCTTTTTCAATTTATTTTATTTATTTTTTATTTTTATTTTTTTGTTAATTGAGGGTGATTTGAAAATTTGATGGGCCAATTCATCAGTTTGTCCAAGGTTCAAATCCTGGTAGCCCATTCTCACACAGTCGCATTGCACCTGTAGCATGGTTCGGTTCAAAGCCTGGTAGCCCACCACCAATAATTAGCCTTCTTTGCTTCACATCTTTGTCTTCTCATCCGGAAATAGATTCTCTCAGGTTCTCTTCCACCAAATTTACTAATCTAGGCTTTTAAAATTTGATCTAACGACTAAAGTTATTATAAATTTTAAAAAGGCACCTGCTTTTAGCCGTTGTATCAAATTTCAAGAGCCTGAATTGGTAGATTTGATGAAAGGGATCCGTAGATGATCCCTTTCCTTCTCATCCAATCTCGTCTATAATGGACCAACACTAAGAGATGATTATGCTAGAAATAAGAAAATAATAATAATATCACAAAAATATCTTCTTCTTCTTCTTCTTTTCTTAAAAGATGAACAATTGGTGGCAAACCACGATTATTTATCCCTTTTGGAGGCTCGTAATACTTACAGAGGCATTTCAGCCTCCCATGGACACAAGTCTAGCTTCCACACCAGCATCGACAAAAATATCTTTTTAGCGAGGAGGAATATTTCAATATACTGGAAACACGGCCTGATACACCAAATATTATAATAAAACTAGTTGAATTTTTCTTTTAAGTATCCAATCACTTGTATTATGACAATTGATGTATCAGACTGTATTCCTGACATACTAAAAACTCTCTCCATATCTCTAGTAGATATTGAATTCACATATGACATATGTTGGTAGATATTAACTCTATTAAAAAAATGATACAAATATGGTGTAAAAAATAGGATGCGTAGAATTGCTCGTATTTTATGGTCAACCTTTCAATGTTAAGAATGTTATTAATTTTTTCTCTTAAAATAAAAAAAAAATTCTTAACCATGTTTTGTTACACGTGTTATTAAATGACCAAATATTTTTATTTCAAATTTGGATGATATTTTTTACGATAAGAGCTCTGTCTTTATTTATTTTGTATTTAGATGATTTTTTTTAGTACTAGTGATACGATATTTTAAAGAAGGAAATTGCCCGCACAATAGATAAGTCACTAATTAGATATCTAATTCAACAAAAATATAACATGCAGTCTTTTTTATATGAATTTTTTTTAACAAACGATATTATTTACATTAAGTGAGAGGAATGAGGGCTTAACTTCACAATGGGCTAGCAATAATGTAGTTCAAACTCGTATTTTACAAGAATTGAATCTAAGATGTAACATCCCACATTGTCAAGGGGAGTGATCCTTAAATGTATATTCTCATCCCTACCTAGCATGAGGCTTTTTGGGAGCTCACTGGCTTCGGGTTCCATCGGAACTCCGAAGTCATATTGTCACATCTGGCCCGGGGGGACCACTTCCCGGGCCCGCTCCACCACCGTAGCACGATATTGTCCGCTTTGGGCTTACCATTCCCTCATGGTTTTGTTTCTGGGAACTTATATGAGAACTTCCCAGTGGGTCACCCATCATGGGATTGCTCTAGCCCTCTTCTTACTTAACTTCGGAGTTCCTATGGAACCCGAAACTAGTGAGCTCCCAAAAGACCTCGTGCTAGGTAGGGATGAGAATATACATTTAAGGATCACTCTCCTGAACGATGTGAAATGTTTCATAAGACCTCTCATTTATAAATGAAGAGAAATACTAATAAATGTAATACTAAGTGACAAATTTAAATTATTTTTAAAACTTAACAAATAAACCGTTGACATCATTGAAATACATTATTGGATAAACTTAAGAAAGAGGCACTTACATGATTGATTGTTGGCAAAAAACGGAAGAAAATTGATATGAATGCCACGTCATACAGTATATATGCCAACAGGATCCTTTTCGGATTTTTTTGACGAGGATTATAAGAATTCGTGAATTGTGTTCGTTCATCGTACATCGTGCGGTTAATTTATCTCTAGTACTATTTGGGTTTAATTTTAAATAAAAATATTTAAAATAATTTTTAACTGCACATTTACAGATCATCCTGATAAAGAGGATCCGACGTGGATCGGATTCTATGCATTGTGACGCTGTCTGGATTAAAATTCCAGGTGGAGGGTGGTGGAGCTAAGAGCGGAGCAAACGCAACTTATTTCCAAACAGGGAAGAAGCAGAAGAAGAAGAAACAAGAAAAAATATAATTCTAGAGAGAGAAAGCAGACGACGGCGTATGAGACTGTCCAGAATGATCTCCTCCGTCACCGCCTTCTCATCCGCCATTAACAAAACCTCATCAACCCTTTACTCTCTCACTCCTCTCCAACCAAACGTTAATCCCATCACCATCTCCCGGAGGAATTTCATCTCCCTCACCAAATCATCATCCTTTCCCCTCAAACATTCAATCTCCATGAACAAGCAATATCTCTCTACCCTTTCCAGCTCCAGATCAGACAACGGAACATCCCTTGATCTGCCTGCCCAGGTTCGATTGTCATCTGTTGTTAATTTTCAATATTTTTATCCAACTCGTCGTCCATGAGAGTCGATCCTGAGACCTTTCGGCTCACAGAGAGAATACCGCTAGACAGTAGTGCGTATTTGCTATTTAGATTAATTGATCATGTTTTGCAGGGAGCCGAATCATTTTTCAGGGCAGTGTTGGCAAGCATGGAGGCTGTCTACTTAAGCAGAAACCCAACTGCAAAAGCAATCTTGGAGCTTGTTGGGTCGGCTTCCGATGAACAAATTTACTATGACCATTTCGCATTCAGGACTTTTGGGGTAATTGAATTCTGTTCCCTTGGATCAACGGATTGTTATAAAAAAAGTATTGATTCGTGTTTTCGTTTAGACATTAAACTCTGTATGTGATGAAATTGATGATATGCGTTCATTTTTGTTGACAAAATCGATGTTCCAAAGAATCTAAACTACGAGGATATTTCCGTGGCTAACTGACTTAATTCACATCTGCAATATTCCTTAGTTTTAAATTGATCTTGTTAGCATTGGTGCTGAAGTTTGTTTTAATTTGGAACAATATATAGGTGAATGGTTATGGCATTGATTCCATGGCCAAAATTTTCCTGGATTTTGGGTACACGCCCCGGGAGGAATTGAGATTCCCGGCCAAAAAATTGAGAGCATTGTGGTTTTCTCCCCCCAGTGTTCCCATTCCTCATGGCGGCAGTGGTGTGAATGGGCCTCTGCCGAGAGTTTTCATATCCGAGCTTCTTGTAGATCAGATGAGTCCCCAAACTCAGGTATATATCAGTATATGTTCCTCTGTTCATGGAAAATAGATAACATGTTGTGTTCATATGGTTCCTGTTTCGCATATGGTGAAACTTTTGTTTCAACATTCAGGATATAATAAAAAAGTACACTGAAATATCTGGTTCTGGAAATAAACATGCTGCTCTAGCAAGTGCTCTCGGATCTTTAACATGGGAGAAGCCGTTACATTCTGAATTCCAACAATTGGCTAGGTACTTGATTTTCATTCTGTTCTTGTGTCAATATCCATGTCTTACTATTTGCGTAAGCAAAATTTTGTATCTGCCAGGGAGGTTGGGTTTGCATATTGTAGCAGCCCTGAAGTTGAACAATGTGAACATTGCCTTTCCTGGCTTCGTATTGTTATTATCTCGATCTTTATAAGGCTTATATCTTATGGATATGTAGGGAAAGTGAATATGCTGCCTGGACGCTTGTCAATGGGTATGCACTGAACCATGCCACCATCTCCACTCATCAGCTGAAATCGCACTTGAGAGATATTAAAAGCCTCAATCAGTTCATTGAGAAGAATGGTTTCAAGTTGAATTCTGAAGGGGGAATTCTTAAAGGTTTGTTCCATGATTTCTAGCACAACAAAATGTCTTAGAAATGATCTTGTGGTGTTTTTGTACACGATTGATGCTTCTTTGCAATATGAAATGGGAGACATTATTGGCATTTCGAAACTAAGTTTAGTGAAATTTCATGAAACATCTTTTATTACATATATGACTCAATGCTGTTATGACCAAATTACATGTACAATTCCGGATATTATGTTGTAATGAGTTTAATTTTGGCATTAACAGTGAGCCCAGATGGCCTTCTTCAGCAAAGTTCAACGGTCGCAGATTCTATCCATTTCCAATTTGCGGATGGTGTAATTGAATCAGTACCCTGCTCCTACATCGAGTTTGCTGAACGCCTGGTTCTGCCTCAATACAGCAATCTGCCCCTTGACGAGGTGACCAAACTTCCGTCTCTTAGTAATTTCAGGTCTTTAAGTTTCTTTTAGTGTTGTACAGTTAAGAACAATTGAACTACGAACTTGCACAGGTTAAAGAGCATCACAGGCGAGACGGATTTGAGGTTGGAAATGCAGACAAGATCTTCGAGAGCACATCAAAGGAGCAGCTGACCAGGAAGGCTGCATGAAACAATCATCCCTTATAACGACGATGCGGATTTCACCATCGGAGAACGACCTGCCAAAGAAGAAAAGGAACACAAAACAAAACCTCTCATGGATTAAGCATGGATTTAGTACATCTGGCAAAGTGGTCTTCCAGGCTGAGCTGTTAGTAAATTACAAATGCGCGACACCATGAGAGAGGCTTGAGCATGTACATATTTATTTCACAGAAGTAATAAAAGAAGGCAGATTTTATGCGTTTACTTCAAGTGCAAATAATCCCTTTTGGAAATATATGGTCCCAAAAAGACGTAATAATACTCTGATCTACAAGTAGAGAATTTGACTACCGACAATATTATAACACGTGAAATAATAACACTTAACAATGCAACGATCGCACTCGATTGAAGTCTAGTCTAGTTAGCTGAATGTAGAACAAGATTGAATCTTGCCGAGTCCAAAAGGTAAGGCCATATAGACGACAGATGTTAGGAGACGGGAATTTGTACAGAAAATATTGAATTCGTAGGTAAAGTTCTTAACCACTTGAGCTACAAGTTTTGCAAACCCGTTGTTTGAATGTACTCATTGAGTCAAAAGACTTGTACTAATAAGAAGACAAATTAAGGGGAGGCAACAATTATGGTCTTTCTAACCAGATATTGCACAACAAATTTTTGCTCAAAGAAGCTTGGCCTGCCCTTACATTCTAAACATAACATCAAAAGCAAACATGAATCTCTGCTGATTTTCCAGTTGGTTCAAGAACAAATGCTTTGACCGAAAATTACATTTATACGGATCGAGGAAGCGGAAAAAGGGGGGAAAAGAAAAAAATGATTGCTCACAAGAGGTGGGAAATGATACAGAGAGCTGCCAACCCTATCTTACGGTTTGACATTAGGTTTTGGCGATGGATGGGGATGTTGATGGTGGTATGGAGAAGCATGGGTACCATTTGGTATCGAAAGGCTCCTCTGCTGATGATGCCCGTTCCTCATCAGCAATCCTCCTTGCGGTCTGACGCTGTTTCTGGTATTTGGGCTGGAACCGACACGGTCACCTTGGATTGTCTGGAAATAATATGATGAGCTTGCCATATCCTTGAGGGCTGGCAGGGGCTTTAAGACTTCCACAACTTCACTCATTAGGGGCCTGGCTTTTGGATCTCGACTAAGGCAGTGGGCAGCTAGTTGTGCGGCTTTTTGGACACCTTTTATCGAAAAGTGGCCTTCAAGCCGAGGGTCTATCAACCGGTAGAATCTTCTTCTTTCTCCTAGATGTGGCCGTGCCCATTCCACAAGGTTATGTTCGCCATTGGGTCGGTTTTTGTCCATGGATCTTCTGCCGGTCAGCATCTCGAGTAAAACCACGCCAAAACTATATACATCACTCCTGGATGTAAGATGTCCTGCAACAAAATACAAGTGAATATACTCAGACTTCAACAAAGTATCAAGAATCTTTATGTGTATCGAAAACATAATGTCCAAGAGGATGAGCATTAATTGCACCCACCATCTTCAACCTAGCTCATGTGTAACTAACACTCAACACCAGATAATGCGTATAACTTCTACATGCTCAAGACATGAAGTTTGAGAAATTAAAGTACACAAACTAGTGAAGCGGATGGAAAATTACAGGAAAAACGAAGAGAAGGCCATCTTAACTAATTATATTTGAGAGATATACTATCAATTCCTTACCAGTCATTACATATTCAGGAGCTGCATAACCATAAGTTCCCATCACACGGGTGGAGACATGAGTTTTATCACCCTCAGGACCATCTTTGGCAAGTCCGAAGTCAGACAGCTTGGCATTATAATCCTGAAATGGCACTTCATTAGATAGATGAATGATATTAAGGGGAAGTCTGTGAGTTAGCCAAAGCTTTAAGCACATACGGCGTCCAATAAGATGTTGGAGGTTTTAAAGTCACGATAGATCACAGGTCTTTCTGCTTCCTCATGGAGAAAAGCAAGGCCTTTTGCAGCACCTAATGCAATCTTCATTCGAATAGACCATGGAAGAGGCAACGACCCTGCACATAGCAGATATTGTCAAAGAATGCCAAATAATACTCCTAACTGGCTAATTGGGTGCACTGAATGAAAATTATATTTTCAAAAGGGCAGTTACTTACTCCTAAATAGATGGTTCTCCAAGCTCCCTCGAGGCATGAACTCATACACTAGCAGCCTTTGATCATCTTCAATGCAGTATCCTACAAGTTTAACTAAGTTTGGATGGACAAGGTCACCAAGATAATTTACTTCAGCCTGCCACATAGAAAGCGAAACAAAAATCAATAATTGAATACAAGATAGGTAGAGAACACCAAAATATTTAGTAGTGCTTAAGTTACAAAAAAATAAGGACAGATCCAAACCAGCCATTCTTTATGACCCTGAAGTCCATCATGGTTAAGAGTTTTAACGGCAACAGTAAGACCCGTGCCAGGTTTTACTGGAGCAGTTCCATTTTCTTCTATCCACCCCTTGAACACACAACCAAAACCACCTTCACCAAGAAGACTTTCAGGTCTGAAATTTCTTGTTGCCCATTTAAGATCAATAAATGTGAATTTTCGCAACCGTGAAGCAACTTTAAGTTCCTCTTCAAGTTTGGAAGTGGATGCATTACTTTCTGTATTACTAGTGGTTGACGAAGAGACTACAGTAGCTGTTGGTTGGTCCCTGCTTGTATCATTTATAGATTTAGTTTCTGCACACACCAAAAGAGAAACCAATACATTAGACTACTGATACAAATTAAAAAACATGGTTTCTTAACAGTACTAAGTTGAAAACATGTTCACGGTAAGCAAATTAAGTTTAAAGCATACAAAATGTAAGAACTTATTCTTGAAGACAAGTACACATAACCGATGAATTGCACAAAAAGATATACCAGATTTATACAATGTCAAATAGAAGTGCTCTATCATGAGTCAGTAGCGTTGAATAGGAAATTAGAAGACCAGCTAAATTAGACACCGTAACGACAGCCATCTGACATAGGCCATGTATCTTAAAAAACTTAGTTTATATCTAGAATTACTATGTACTCAACTCAAAAACCACTCTTCCAAACCCAGGAAAATGTTGCTAAAGCCATAAATTCTATCCTCCAATAGCACACACCCCTTATGGCTTAATTTCCCATACCATAATGATACACCCTCACCGCTGCCACCAAAATTTCATCCGCATGCCCAACCATCTCCTTGCCAATTCCTTAATTATCAACCTCACTGTCCTAAATCACAACAGACTGAGCTTCCTAGTTGGTGATTAGTTTTCATTTCCTTCCATACAAGACGGCCCTAGTTTGTTGGTTGACAATCCTCAGAAGAAACAGATAAGTTTTATACAAAGCATCCAACAAACTAAAAGAAAGTGAAAATGACAGGGTAGTACAGTATCAGAAGACACAAGCCTTCATCTTTTTAATAAGGCAGAACATACTTCAAGTTTCCGCAAACGTGTCTTATGTATTCATTTAGTCATAGTCTGGAATTAGGATATTGTTTCCCCGCTATAGGAGACAGCAAGGAGGAGGGATTACGCTTGTTCTCAAAAACAAACTCACATGTTTCTGTGGAATGTTTCTTTGAGGACCAAGAGGATTTTTCAGCCACCAACCAGGCTATTCTCGTATGAGAAAGAAAAAAGAGCTCATTTGGGTTTCATCTCTAAAACCCCCTCCAAAACTCAGAATTTACCCCCGTCACTGCAGGTATACTCTTCACAAGTTCTGGGAATTATCATGCCTTGATTAAAATCTACCAAGAGCAAAGCTCTTCGGATTGACCAAAGTAGTATAATGCAGCTAACTTATGGGAGGCTAAATTTGCTTATGCTATGACTAACAAAGTAAGAACTCTACAGGTTACACAACACAAGCTCAAACAGAAACAACAGAACAATCCCCAAAAGCAATCAATCTCAACAAACACACTTGAAGCATATGAGCTCGTAAAAAAAGTGATTCCAAGAGAAGCAGAGAGTTACCACCACAGTGAGTATTACTGGTCCCACTGATTGAGCTATCAACTTTGGATCTTGAAGAAATGCAGCTTCCAAAGTACCTCAGCCTAACCCAACACCCACTCCCCTCCTCCTCCACGTCATCATCATCATCCCCATCAGCTTTCTGCTTCTTCTTCCTCCTCACCTTCGATTTGCAGATGTCCCAGGCCTCCACTTTACCATCCTCAGCTTTTAAACCCATTTCTCACAAACCCTAAAACAATCAAATCCAGATACCATCAAACACCCAAACCCACCACCTTCCCACCCCCGCAGAACCACCCAGAACCGCCTCTATCCGCCGTCGACACAACCCATACGAAAAACCCACCAAAATCCCTGAAATTTCAGAACTTTACAAAAACCCAACTGAATTTAGAGAAAAAAAAAGACGACCCAGCTGAGAAAACAGCTAGATCACGCGGAAAGCAGATCAAATTCGACGAACCCTTGAAGCGAAATCAATCAGCTCGTGGGGAAAATGAAAAAAAAGAAAACCCAAGAGGGAAGTGTCCTCTTTATCAGATAGGAACAGCCAAATTTTCAGTTTTAACCCAGAAATGTCTGCAGAAATCTCAGAAAATGGACTCCCACAAGCTGACAGTTTAAGTTTGGTGAAAAAAATAAATATTGTTTTTTAGGGACCAAAATAAATAATAATTAGCCAAAATATCGTTACTAGACATATAATATTCCGAATTATCGGATTCTCTCTCTCCTCGTTTTTTTTTAACTATTTTTAATGGAGTAGTGCTATTCATACTATGTTTTTGTACCATATTTTCATATCACCTTAGGTGGCATTTGATTTGGCTATCCACATCATTTGAATTAATCAGATTTTTAAATTTAGTTTATTATTCAATAAACTAATAATTAAGAAAAACTAGTTAATTAAATGATGCTTGTGATATACAAAGTGTCATTTTTCTTGAAATAGGGATCAAGATCCTCTCCTGAGCAAAGGGTGATAATCCTCTTGACCAAGCCCATCGGGCTGTTGAAATTTTATCCAACGGCTACAATTATTATAACTTTAAGAAGGTCCCTTATTTGTAGCCGTTAGATAAAATTTCAACGGCCCGATGACTTGGTCAAAGGATCCTCACCCTTTACTCAGAGAGGATCCTGATTCGAAAAATAGGACATGGATCCTTTTCGGATTTAGTTGTCCTAGTCCTACCTAGTCAAATCATCCTAGCAATTAAAATTTGATCTAAAAG